TATGGATTCACGGGTCACATTTAAGTCTTTTATCCATTTTGAGTTTATTTTTGTTTATGGTGTAAGTTGATGGTCTAGTTTCATTTTTGTGCATGTAGCTGTCCAATTTTCCCAACACCATTTATTAAAGAGGCTGTCTTTACTCCACTCTATGCTCTTGCCACCTTTGTCAAATATTAATTGAGCGTATTGCCTTGGGTCCATTTCTGGGTTTTCAGTTCTGTTCCACTGGTCTATATGCCTGTTCTTGTGCCAGTACCAGGCTGTTTTGGTTACAGTCGCTTTGTAGTATAACCTGATATCTGGTATTGTGATCCCTCCAACTTTGTTCTTCTTTTTCAAGATTGTTGTGGCTATTCGGGGTCTTTTTTGGTTCCATATGAACTTTTGAAGTATTTGTTCTAGTTCTATGAAATATGTCGTTGGTATTTTGATGGGGATTGCATTGAATCTATAGATTGCTTTGGGTAGTATGGACATGTTAATGATGTTAATTCTTCCAATCCATGAACAGGGTATGTGCTTCCACTTTTTTATATCTTCCTCTATTTCTTTTTTCAATGACCTGTAGTTTTCTGCAAATAGGTCCTTTACTTCTTTGGTTAAGTTTATTCCTAGGTATCGTAATTTTTTTGGAGCGATGGTAAATGGGATTGTTTTTTCAGTTTCTCTTTCTGTGAGTTCATCATTGATGTACAAGAATGCCGTCGATTTCTTGACGTTAATTTTGTATCCTGCTACTTTGCCAAATTCATTTATTAAGTCTAATAGATTTTTGATGGAGTCTTTAGGGTTTCCTATGTACAATATCATGTCATCTGCAAATAATGACAGTTTCACTTCCTCCTTTCCAATTTGGATCCCTTTTATTTTTTCTTCATGTCTGATTGCTGTGGCTAAGACTTCCAGTACAATGTTAAATAAGAGTGGCGAAAGTGGACATCCCTGTCTTGTTCCTGTTCTTAATGGAAATGTTTTAGTTTCTGTCCATTGAGTATGATGTTGGCTGTAGGTCTTTCATATATGGCCTTTATTATGTCCAGATATGATCCCTCTATTCCTACATTGCTGAGCGTTTTTATCAGAAATGGATGCTGGATTTTGTCAAATGCTTTGTCAGCATCTATTGATATGATCATGTGGTTTTTATTCTTTATTTTGTTTATGTGGAGTATCACGTTTATTGATTTGCGAATATTGTACCAGCCTTGCATCCCTGGGATGAATCCCACTTGGTCATGGTGAATAATTTTTTTGATGTATTTCTGGGTTCGATTTGCTAGTATTTTGTAAAGGATTTTGGCGTCTATGTTCATCAGGGATATTGGCCTGTAGTTTTCTTTCTTCGTAGTGTCTTTTTCTGGTTTTGGAATTAGAATTATGCTGGCCTCATAGAACGTGTTTGGAAGTCTTCCTTCTTCTTGAATTTTTTGAAATAGTTTGAGGAGAATGGGTGTTAGTTCTTTTTTGAATGTTCGGTAAAACTCCCCCGTGAAACCATCTGGGCCTGGGCTTTTGTTTGCTGGGAGAGTCTTGATTACCTCTTCAATTTCCTTAGTTGTTATTGGTCTGTTCAAGTTTTCTATCTCTTCCGGGAATAGTTTTGGGAGACTGTGTGTCTCTAGAAATTTGTCCATTTCGCTTAGATTGTTGAATTTGTTGCCATATAGTTGTTCATAGTAGTTGTTAACGATCTTTTGTATTTCCGTGGTGTTGGTTGTTACTTCTCCTCTTTCATTTCTGATTTTGTGTATTTGGGTTCTCTCTCTTTGTTTCTTGGTGAGTCTAGCTAAGGGTCCATCAATCTTGTTTATCTTTTCGAAAAACCAGCTCTTTGTTTCATTGATCCTTTGAATTGTTTTTTTGGTCTCTATGTCATTTATTCCTGCTCTGATCTTTACTATTTCCTTCCTTCTACTTGCTTTGGGGTTTTCTTTTTGTTTGCTTTCTAATTCTTTAAGTTGTGAGGATAGACAGTCAATTAGAAATTTTTCTTGTTTTTTGAGGTAGGCCTGTAGTGCTATGAACTTCCCTCTCAGAACTGCTTTCGCTGCATCCCATAGATTTTGTGTTGTTGTGTCTTCATTTTCATTGGTTTCCAGGAAGTTTTTGATTTCTTCCTTGATCTCCTCGGTGACCCATTCATTGTTTAATAACATGCTATTTAGCCTCCATGTGTTGAAATGTCTTTGCATGTTCTTGTTGCAATTGATTTCTAGTTTCATGCCATTGTGATCTGATAAGATGCTTGATATGATTTCAATCTTCTTGAACTTGTAGAGATTTAGTTTGTGTCCTATCATGTGGTCTATCTTTGAGAATGTCCCCTGTGCACTTGAGAAGAATGTGTATTATGTAGTTTTGGGGTGTAATTCTCTGTAGATATCTATTACATCCATTTGGTCTAGTGCTTCATTTAGAGTCTCTGTTTCCTTGATAATTTTTTGCCTAGAGGATCTATCCAGTGCTGTCAACGGGGTGTTGAAGTCCCCTGCTATGATTGTATTGTTGTCGATTTCTCCTTGGAAGTCCTCCAGAAGGTTTTTAATATATTTTGGTGCTCCTATATTGGGTGCATATATGTTTATCAAGGTTATATCTTCCTGTTGGATAGATCCTTTCAATATTATGTAGTGGCCGTCTTTGTCTCTAGTTATGGTCTTCATTTTGAAATCTATTTTATCAGATATGAGAATTGCTACCCCAGCTTTTCTTTGCTTTCCATTTGCTTGGAAAATTTTTTTCCATCCCTTCACTTTCAACCTATGTGAGTCTTTTGTTGAGAGGTGGGTCTCTTGTAAACAACATATAGATGAGTCATGCTTTCTTATCCAATCAGCTACTCTGTGTCTCTTTATGGGAGCATTCAATCCATTTACGTTTAAGGTGATTATTGATATGTGCTTATTTATTGCCATTTTTGTTTAGTGTGGTTCTATTTTTCTTCCCATTTCTACTGCTAATTACAGCAGTCCTTTTAACATTTCTTGCAGTGCTGGTTTGGTGCTAATGTATTCCCTTAGCTTTTTTTTGTCTGGGAAGCTCTTTATTTGATCTTCTATTTTGAACGATAGCCTTGCTGGGTAGAGTAGTCTTGGATTCAGATTCTTGTTTTTCATGACTTTGATAACTTCATGCCATTCTCTTCTGGCCTGTAGTGTTTCTTGTGAGAAGTCAGCTGAGAGCCTTATGGGGTTCCCTTTGTAGGTAACCTGTTGCTTATCTCTTGCTGCTTTTAGGATTCTCTCTTTGTCTTTAATTTGTGGCATTTTAATTACTATGTGTCTTGGTGTGGGCCTGTTTGGGTTCTTCTTACTTGGGACTCTCTGTGCTTCTTGAACTTGAATGCCTTCTTCCTTCACCAAATTAGGGAAGTTTTCTCTCACTATTTTTTTGAATATATTCTCTATCCCTTGCTCCTTTTCTTCTTCTTCAGGGACTCCTATGATGCGAATATTATTACGTTTCCAGTTGTCCCATAGTTCTCTTAAGCTGTCTTCCTGTTTTTTAATAGTTTTTTCCTTTTGTTTTTCTGATTGGTTGATTTTTTCTACCCTGTCTTCTAATTCACTGATCCGGTCCTCAGCTTCCCCTACTCTGCTATTTAAACCTTCCAATGTGTTTTTTATTTCTGATATGTCATTTTTTATCTCTTCTTGTTGGTTTTTAATTTCCATTTGGCTTATTTTCAGTGTCTCTATGTCCTTACTCATGCTGTTCAGCTTCCTCAAGATCATGGCTCTGAATTCTAGCTCTGTTAACATGCCTAATTGCTCCACATTGATGTCATCTTCGGTGGAGGTGTCTTGCTCTTTCATTTGGCTTCTGTTTCTGTGTTTCACCATTTTGGCTATCACTGTGGGGTTTGGAGCCTGTCAAGTTCTCCCTTGGGTGTTGGTGTTCTGCTGTTTGTGGCTCCCTCTCCTGTGTTTAGATGAGCGAGGGAGGACCCACGTTGAACACCACTGTCAAGTCTTACTTTCCTGGTTAAAGTTGCCAGCCCAGGAAACGTACTGTTATCCTCTAGCTTTTTGCCTGGAAGCTAGCAGTCTAGGTTAATTGATGAGTTTTGGGTTGTCAGTTGATTGAAAAACTCCCTCTGGTGCTCAGCCAAGGGGCTTTCATGAGGGTGGGGCAGATGCTGGTTGTTATTGAGCCTCAATTAGCACTTCAATGGCCCACAGGGTGGGGTTGGATCTCCGAGGGAGGGGCTGCTGCCTCTCCTTAGAGCTCTGGGAAAGAGCAATGTGGCCACCGTCCTGAGTGGCTGCACTCAGCCAAAGCTCTGAGCGCCCTCCAAACCCCGAGTGTCCCGACACAGTTCCAGTCCAGTCTGCCCTCCCTCCGCCGGAGCCCAAGGTGAGTGGCTGTGGCCATTTTAGCCTCTGTCCCGGCTGCGCTGTGGGGCCGCCTGGGAGTGTAACCCGCGGGCGCCGCTTATAGCCAAGGCCGCTGCCGAGCTGCCGACCGTGGGCTCCCAGCCCCGTCTCGCGCCTTCGCAAGCCTACCGGGATGGAGTCAGTGTCCTTCGTTGTATGGTCCTCGCAAGCTGCTTTTCTGTTGGTTTTCCCCGTCGATTTGTCTGTGTTATAGTTGGAATTCCAGTTTGGTTCTGGGAGACGGTCTGTGTAGCTCCGTTCACTCCGCCGCCATTTTTCGGTCAAGCCAGATCTTTTAAATCTAATTCTGGCCCTGGCCGGTTTGGCTCAGTGGTTAGAGTGCTGGCCTGTGGACCGTAGAGTCCAGGTTTTGGTTCCCGCTAAAGGCACGAACCTTGGTTGCAGTTTGTCCCCAGTCCCGGTTGGGGTTGTGTGGGTGGCAGCTACTCGATGTGTCTGTCACATTGATGTTTCTCTCTCTCTCTCTCTCTCTCTCTCTCTCTCTCTCTCTCTCTCTCTTCCTCTCTCCCTCCCTCCCGCTCTATCTGAAGATAAATGCAAAAATGTCCTCATGTGAGGATTAAAAATAAATAAATAAATAATTCTGCTTACTTTGCCTAGGTTGGGGCAAACACCATGGATAATCCTCTGTTGAAATACAGTGCAAAGGATTACTTCTTTAAAGCTGCCCTCTGTCACTTCATAGTCGATGAGTTAAATGCCAAGGTAAGTAGTCAGTTCTTTAGTACTAGTTTTCTGCTACACATTACCCATGAGAGTAGGCCCCAGTCAGGTATTCTGTTGTTCTTTATATCACTGTGTTTAGGTGATACTCATTATTTGCAAGACTAAACTGAGTACATTAAAAATAATAATAATAATATGGTATGTATCCCAGCTGTAATCTTGTAACAGCTGCCTAAGCTGTTCTGTTAAAGTTCCCTGGTTACCACGTTTTCGTCAACAGTTTTGCCTTAAATAAATTAGAGAGCTAAATAGAATGACTTCCTTTTTTAAAAACTTAGAAGTGGAATTGTAATTGGAATGAGGATTGGGGAGAAAATGAAAAGCCAAGTGAAAGCTGAGAGACAAGGGACAGAGAGTTGAGTAACTGTGTTGTTTTCAGTTGGAGTTGGAAGAGTAGAATTAAAATCACTAAGAAGAAAAGCAGTTTTCCTTCCAGCCTTGAATAGTGGTCTAACAGATATTTTGGGAATCATAACAGTCTTAAGAACAAATTCCATTTAATGGATGCAAAGAGACACTAGTTTATGAGGTTTGCAGAATTAGATTTGATTCACAACATCTTCTCTACAGCAACCTAATTCAGAAAAATTGGTTTAGAAATTTATTCTTAACTGGAATTGAAAGTCAGAATAGATAGGTTCCTGTGTTGATTTTGATGCTGAATTTAATACATACTTCATATACACTTAAATAGGATGTAGATGAGTCCTACTGAAGTTAACAGAACGTTCAAAGCTTTGTTTCCTGGTTTAGTGACTCGGACATTAATGAATGGTTTTTCTCTCTCAGCTTGCTCTTGAGAAATATGAGGAAATGTTTCCAGCATTTACTGATTCAAGGGAATGTAAATTGTTGAAAGTAAGTAGTATTAGAACTTTGAAGAAAAAAGCCTTTGCTGTCAGATGGGACTGGATATGAAGTGAAGTTTTAATTCTATGAAGTCTGCTGACGAACCTTTCCTGCTTTTGCATAATAGGTTTCAAATGCCACTAAGAGTCAGGAATATAGACTTGTATTCTGAAGCAGGCAATTCAGAACTGTTAGCACAAATACTAGATCCATGACTTGAGTTAATTCTTTGTTTTTGCATATTTCTCCAATTTTGTAAAGTATTTAACAATATCAGTTAATGTGATACTAAGCTATTTCTGTATTTAAAGTATCTCTATTCATAGGTGGAACTTTTCTACCTACCAAACTAATTTTTCTATATTTATGTTACTAGAAACTTCTAGAAGCTCATGAAGAACAGAACAGTGAAGCTTACACTGAAGCAGTAAGTCATGTCTTTGAGATAATGCAGTCTTTGAAGATTTGTTACAGAAACTTTTTATTTTCATTATATAAATGCTGAACATTTATTTGAACATTATTCCAATACCTAAATTGTAATTTCCAAAGGTCATGTTTTATATATTCCACAAACCTATATATTTGTACAATTTCATTAGCCAATGATGAATTGAGATGTAAGGCATTGAAGAAAAAAAATATCACATATTGTTACAATTTGCTGTTTGAATGTTTTCTTTTGAAAATAATCTCCATAAATATGTGTATAGTAAAATCAGTTAAATACAATTTAAAATATAAAAGCAGTACTGAGAGTTTGCTATATTCCTGGCATAAAATAAATGGAAGATTGTTTTCTTTATATTTATCTATCTTCTGTTTTTTCATCTTTTGCCATCTTATGTTTAGAATCAAGCAAGATTCTCAATATCCCCCATTAGTATATTTATCGTGCTTTGACATAGTAGTGGGAAGGAATGTTTTCCCATTTAACTTTTGCTACAAAACCATTTCCATCTTATTGAAATATCATTCTTTAGTAATGTGTTGAAATGAGTTAATGGAATTCTGCTTCCACACATCCTGTCTCTGCAAATACCTTTTTTCTTGTTCATTGGATTTTGGAACACTATTATAATTTTCCATTTCTCTTCTAAGTCTTATACATGGTCTAATTTTCTTTGCCATATTGTGTTCTTATTCCAGTTATAAAAGCTGTTAGGAATTTTTGTCATCACATGTTATATACAGAACAATATAAAAGGCACAGAAACTTTTTTAAAAATATGTTTTTATTGATTTTGTAGAGAGAGAGGAAGGGAGAGAGAGAGAGCAAAACATTGATCAGCTGCCTCCTGCGTGCCCACTACTGAAGATTGAGTCCACAACCCGGGCATGTGCCCTGACTGGGAATTGAACCAGGACCTCTAAGTTCATAGGATAATGCTCAATCCACTCAGCCACACTGGCCAGGGAGGCACAGAAAATGAAAAAATAAAGTTTTTAATGAAAGTTATGAATTAGAATACATAATTTTAAATGAAGAAAGTTGGTGGATTATCACTATGTTTAAACAGCTGTTGTTTTATTTTTATTGCATTTTCATGGACTAATTTCTGTTCCTCTAACCTTAAACTAGGTGAAGGAATTTGACTCAATATCTCGCTTGGATCAGTGGCTTACTACCATGTTGCTTCGTATCAAAAAGTCCATCCAAGGGAATGGAGAAGGAGATGGAGACCTAAAGTGAAACATTTATAAGTCTTTGTGGCATGCGGCTAAATCCTCTTTAGTTCCTCTTAGGGTCAAGTGACCTTTATGGGATGCCCATTTAATGGCCCAGTTTTGTTGCACATGAACCAAATGATCTATGTGTGTGTGGTTCAAGTTTGCTGTGTTTATGTGACTGTTAAGCAGATGAATAAAAGAAGCTCTTTTGCATTATGTGGGTGTGATGGGCTATTTAATGCTTGCCAGAGTGCCCCGACTTTTCTGAGTACTACTTCAGAATTGTATTCTTGTTATTTGATATTTGCAGAGCCCATGTTTAATTTTGCCATGTATTTTTCTGTCCTTTTTCTTGGACTTGAGTACTTAACCCATTGCTCTAATCAATGCTTTGTATTTTCTCTGTAAATTTGCATCTGGATGTATTCTCTAAGTGTATGTGTTTAGTTTAGGGTGGTGGTTAGGAATGATTTTATGACCTTTATTAAAAATTATTTGTTGTTATCTTTTGGTTTTTTGATGATGCTAATAACCAGTTTATTTGCTTTTGATATTGTTCCCTATGCTAACATGCATGTGAAAATTCAGAACAGCCAGGGTCTGCCTGCATCACTTAACACTATGAGAAAAGGGAGCTTCCTGGCAGTGCTTGCTTATGTATGTGGATGAATGTCAAGGTGAATTTGACTGCTTTGTATTTGCACACACACACACACACACACACACACACACACACACACATGATCTATGAGAAATGGAATTTTTCTTTTTCTTTTTTTTTTTTATCCTCACCCGAGGACATTTTTTGATATTTTGTTCAGATAGAGTGAGATGGAGAGAGAGAGAGAAACATCGACGTGAAAGCGACACATCGAATGGTTGCCACCCACACGACCCAACCAGGGCTGGGGACAAACTGCAACCAAGGTACGTGCCCTTAGTGGGAACCGAACCCGGGTCTCTCCGGACCGCAGGCCGACGCTCTAACCGCTGAGCCAAACCGGCCAGGGCAGAAATGGAATTTTTCTTTTTCTTAGACATAGTTTCCACTTTTTGTTGGGGTGAGAATCCTTTTCTTTATATTCACATAAAGGTGTTTTAACTGGTACATCCCTTCTCTTTACTTTCATGGTCATGTACATTTTCATGAGGGCCTGGAAATTATAAATCAAAGTTTGAGAAAAGATTTCAATAATTTTATCCATGTGTTGAACATGATGGGTTTAGGTAGGGTTAATATAGCACAGAGATTTACTCTATGCCTCAGGGCAAATAGCTTTTAAGGAGACCCGATTTTCCTCTTAACTGATTGGTTTGTTTTGGCTTTTGCATTTGAACTTTGAACTTTAACCTTTCATTTTGTTTTACATAATATGTGTTCTATTGATTAATGAACTTGATCCCTATCTATTAGGTTACATGATGACATTGTACTTTAAATGTGGTCTTGTATCTTGAATCTCCTCTGTGCATATTTTTAGGCTTAAATTATTTATGTTTGACATACATTTGTTGCCAGATATAGCCTGTGTTTTTTTCTAAATTGTGCTGCTGTCATTAATGACAGGTAATGAAAGGTTCCATGTTTTATTAGATAGTAACTGGTATTAAAATGATGTCTTCATTTTTGGATGGCCCTCAACTAGAATTGGTAGGCTTTGTTGGACAGCAGTGGAGAGGGTGTGCCCAGACCAAGGGCTCAGTGTGGAAGAAGCTTTGGGGGTGGTGAATAGGTTAGTTGGGATGAAGGAGAAGGCAGCAGAAAAGGAAGTTGAAAGGGCCAGCTGAGGCACGACTGTGGAGGCTTTCTCAGGTGGCTTTGAGGATTGCTGGCTATAGTTGTAGAGCAGCGGTTCTCAACCTGTGGGTCGCGACCCCTTTGGGGGTCAAACGACCTTTTCACAGTAGTCGCCTAAGACATAACAGTACCAGAATTAGTTATAAAGTAGCAACCAAAATAATTTTATGGTTGGGGGTCACCACAATGTGAGGAACTGTATTAAAGGGTCGTGGCATTAGGAAGGTTGAGAACCACTAAATGTAGAGTAATGTGTGCAAGGTGGGTTGACAGAGAGGAAGGTTAGTGGTGTTATAGTTATCAACTGAGGGTAGAGGGAAGGGACCAGAAGACATGGACACTCTGGTGTTGGGCCCTGGAATCTGATAAGAATTTCTTTTTTCCTTCAAAAGTCAAGAAAACTGGCTATCATAGTACAATTTGGAATGGAGTTTATTTTGTACTATTTTATTTTCTGTTGGAATTTCTTATGAAAATATTATAGAAGAGTGGAGTTTTGTTGCTTTACCTAATCTGTTCCACAACTATCCAAATGTACTTTTGTAAAAAGCTTTTTTCCAGATGCACTTTTGTGAAAGAGAGGCATGGGGAGTGATTTTGTAAGTCCACGTGCTTTGGCCATAGGTCTGCCCCATCTGGAGAGCATTTAAATCCTAGCCAGTCATCGTGCTTCTTTTATCACTAGTCTAGTTTGTTTCCACTTATTAAAAGAAACTTCTGGTCTGACTACTTAAAGTAAAAACTAAATGCTTTAAGACAATTCTATTTAGCTTTTATCATGATCCCCTAACAATCCTGTCTAAAAAAGAGGTATGGTTTTTTAAAATAATATTGGCAACACTTTGTCAGTCAGAGACTTGCTTGTCTGTTTTGAAATAAACACTGATATCAGTGCCCGAGTTAAGAACTTTTTAAATATTTTACCTGGAAGAGTAAAAATAACTGTAATGACTAGAACAGATTTGCTATTAGGCAAAAGGAAAACAAGAGGGGAAAAGTCCCATTAATGGTGTCCAAACTTCCTTCCTTGATATATTCCATTGTCAGACAGACATAACTCAGAGGTCCAAGGTATGTTCTCAGTATTTATAGAATGTTATTTATGAACAAAATGTAATATCTGTTTAGATTGTAGTTCTTGTATTTTAGCAAATCTGGGGTTAGTTCATAGAATCAGTTGTGGCAACATTTTTATAGCTTCTGTGAGTTTATTTGAACAATCGTGACTGTGTGATGGTGTCACTGTAACCAATGTGTGTGCATTTATTGTTTCCTTTGATAGTGTGCATTTAAAATATTCAAATGCAAACATATGTGGCTTGCTTTGGAGGGTTTGGCAGCACAGCATGCTGTGATTCACCACCAGTGGTGTGAGTGCAAGTTCCTGCCTGTGAAGTTCTGAGTCGGTCACTGTGGTGTTCTCCTCTCTCATGCTCTCAGGTGGATTATATTATAAAAACTAACCATAACTCTACCTTAGCAGAAAAGAGTATGTATGTTTTATGTTAACTTGTACATTATTAAATAAAGTGGAAATTATAAATATTTTGACAGGTCTTTCCTACCTAAATTTACACAGATCACAAATATCTTCCTTTTCTTGAACTTATTCCTATTAAGTTTAAGGCATTGAACATAAATATTCTCTAGGCTCTTTGAATATCCATTGAAACATGAGTTTGACCATGTTAAAATCTCCATTACGTGGTGGAAATTCAGGCACTGTGATGGTTTTGCAAACAGGGTTTATGAAAGAAGACCTGGTTATAGTCTGTTGGTACAGTCCGCTAAGTTTACACAATGACTCTATAAGCCTCAAATGCTCATCCCTTTCGGCTGCCCCATGTTGCTTGTATCCTTTGGGATACAGTGACTTGCAAAGTTGAGGGAGGATTGGTTCACAGAAAACTATAAGGTAGGGTTGTAACCCTCAAACCACTTAACTCTTGGCAGTGTGGGCATTTATGTAATTTTGGAGATATCTGTACAGGGTCAGTACATGCCCCTAGGGATGGTTGAGCCCCCTGACCCCTCAGGCCACAAGTTCTGTGGAGGAAGAGAATGCCATGTGGAGTACCGTGGGTCAGCTCGTCAGGTCAAAAAGCATTGTTAAGGTCTATGAGCATATTTACAATTTAGATAAGTCAAAGCAAATTTTGAAAAAATGGTAAAACAGGCTATCCCAATTTAGGTATTCTGAGTTGTTGATTATTCAATGTTAGTTTATTTCACAATCATTAATTCCTAACAGAGAGAAGCCACCATGGTGGTTTAAAAACCTGGTTTGGCTAGCCTTGGTAAAAGCCCCTGTACAAATTGGCAGAGGTATCTGGGTGGTTTCTGGGGCTTGGCTGGGTGATATCTTTGGCCCTCTGACCTGTGTTTGAAGTTTGCTCAGTTATACTGCACTCATCTAGGTACATATGAACAAATGGCTATTCGTGTGAGTGCCCTTCCACCACTGAAATAATGAGATTACTTCATGTTTCCCACTGTCAAGTTTATTTAAAGGGACAGTCACTCATTTTGTCTCAAAAAATGACCCTTTGTGACAAGGCATAAAACTTAACAGGTTAAGATAAAATTTTCTCATACTCAAATTTGTTGGTTTGGATTATCATCTGTAAAACTACATTCTTTTTTTCTTCCCCTTTATTGATTTTAGAGAGAGGAAGTGAGGGAGAGATAGAAATATTGAGAACATTGATTGGCTGCCTCCTACATGCCCCACACTTGGGGATCAGACCCACAACCTGGGCATGTGTTCTGACCAGGAATTGAACTGGTGACCTCCTGGTGCATGGGTTGACACTCAACCACTGAGCCACACTGGCCAGACAAAACTACATTTCTCTTAAAATGATCTATTATAAAGGTCTTCTCCCACCACATGACCCATTTTTTTCCAAGTTGTAACACAAATGTTTTGGTAAAACCAAAAGTGGTAGAGATCTTTGTAGTTTGGGCTGAGAATATATCCCACAATATGGCTGGAAAGCACCAAATCACCACCATTAGTTGCCTGTCTTGATGCTCTGGGAGAAGCAGTGCCAGCACCAAGGGCACTTTCCTAATCATGGATTTAGGACTGACATAGTGAGATGGTAGCTTGCTTTCATTCAGGGAGGCTGTACTTGAATTAAGAGAAATAGGGGTAGATGCCCCACAAATCCCTCAATGAGTCTTGCACAAGGTTTCCAGATTTGTTCTTAGAGGTAGCTTTACCCTCCCAGAAAACAGAAAAAGAAATCGATATATTGGAAATGTCTCTATGATGCAAACTTAAACGTAACATTGAAGAAACCAGTTCATTTACACACTCCACAGCACCAGCTGTACAGGTTATGTCTACATAAGCCAGAGGTGTTACTTATCAGGCCTTTCACTTCTCAAGAATTAATGTGCAGTCCACATAGTTATAACTAAAGAAAATAGATTACTCCTAGGACTATAACCTTGATTTTAAACGGCATTATCTGTGAAATTAAGGAAATTATACTTATTTCAATATACAAAGCCTAAATTTTAATGGGAAAAAAACCTTAAGATTTGCAAAACCATTTTACAAAACAAACATTTATTAACACATTGATTTTGTTTTAATTTC